TCTTTAAAAAAAATAAAAATAAAAAAAATAAAAACAAAGTAGGCAAAAGGAAAGAAATATTAAAGAGCAGAAATTAATAAAATATATCATAAGAACAGAGAAAATCAATGAACTCCAAAGCTGTCATTTAACTAGATCAATAGAGTTGATCTGTAGGTAGATTGTTCAGAAAAAAAGAAGAGACACATAACCAATATATATATGAAATGAAAGATAGTTTAGCACTAGATATATTAAAGACATCAAAAAAAATACATGATAGGGTGCCTAGGTGGCTCAGTTGTTAAGCGTCTGCCTTCGGCTCAGGTCTTGATCCCAAGGTCCTGAGATCGAGCCCCGCATCGGACTCCCTGCTCAGCGGGAAGCCTGCTTCTCCCTCTCCCACTCCCCCTGTTTGTGTTCCCTCTCTCGCTGTGTCTCTCTCTGGCAAATAAATAAATAAAACCTTAAAAAAAAAAAAAGATACATGATATTTTAAACAACTCTATGAAAATTAGAAACTGACAAAAAAATTCCCTTGAAATACTTCAACTACTCAGGTTCACTGAAGAAATGAGTAATCTGAAATGCCCTCTATTATATATAGACATTGAATTGGTAGTTTTAAATTTTCCCACCATAATTTCATGCCAAGATGGCTTCACTAGTGAGTTCTTTTAAACATTTAAGGAAGAAATAATTCCAATCCCACTAAAACTATTTTTTTAAAAAAGAGGATGGAACTCTTCCCAACTAGTTTTATGATTTTAGCTTTTTTGTTTAATTTGATACCAAACACAGGTAATACTATTAATAGAAAACTGCAGACCAGTACCCATATGAACACAGATGCAAAACATCCTTAATAAAAATTTAGGAAATAGAATACAATGATGATACATAAATAGAAATTACATTTTAACTCGTGAGGTGATACACACACACACATATACACAGGGCATATACATATATATATAAATATGTTTCCTAAATAAATGGAAACTATCATAACATCAATACAGTGATCAAAATGAGAAAGTTATGCTGGGTAAGAATAGGATATACACATGAATAGAACAAAAGCATTTGAAATAATAGCATTCTAAAGCTTTGAAGCGTTTGGGAAAAGGGGTTAAAATAATTACTAATTTTAGATACTGACACAACAATGCTGAAAGTTAAAATATACAAGGTAACCTCCAAGGAAAGTAGGAAAAGGGTTTTCTATACAGGTGGGAATTAAATTGATTTTAAACAAGTCAAAAGGTAGAAAGAAAGGACAGAGAGGTACATAAATTTATGACTATGGAAAAATAACAAAAGTTAGAAATTAATCCAACCCTTAAGCATTTAAAAATTAAAGTAGATTGACTTTTTATTTAAAAGTCTCTTGTTAGGGGCGCCTGGGTGGCTCAGATGGTTGGGCGTCTGCCTTTGGCTCGGGTCGTAATCCCAGGGTCCTGGGATCGAGTCCCGCGTTGGGCTCCCTGCTCAGCGGGGAGCCTGTTTCCCCCCTCTGCCTGCTGCTCCCCCTGTTTGTGCTCTCTCTCTAATAAATAAATAAAATCTTTAAAAAAATAAAAGTCTCTTGTTAGACTTGTATGGATAGTAGTGGTCAGATGGGGCTTAATTGCTAAAGAAGCCTCACATGATTCAAAACGACTGACACCAAACGGCAGTTTATTGCAGGGAAAAGAATAAAATATAACAACATTTAAGTAAGAATATCTATTCCAAGCAAGGCCTGTCTCACAGCAAAGGCTAGAGAAGCCAGATGTAGCTCAGGTTGTTTTCCCTCTGTAAGTAGCTCTGCATGACTTTACTCTCAAATCAGGAACCACTAACATGTAGACAGAACACCTGGGAAGCAGGGAACCCAAAATGAAGTTTATACTCTTCTGGTCCTGTAGGCATATTCCCTCTGTATAATCAGCCTCAACAGCAGAGAGCCTCAGGCACTCACAGACCCCTGGCGAAAATCATCAATGTGCTAAGTATCAATAAACACTATCAATAAACTTGTAGAAACTGCCCCAATACTCACCTCGAATTTATAAGTACAAAGCAATACCAATCATCACTATGTGGCATGCTTTGACTATGAGTCACTGTTGTGCACTGTTTTCAGCAAAACAGCTCAGGCTAGTTCAGACCAGCTGGACTGAACTCACAGAATGGTTTACCCATGTAACCCTTGGCCTTTTTATGACAAGACAATCATTCTTTATTTTTTTTTTTAAAGATTTTATTTATTTATTTGCCAGAGAGAGACACAGCGAGAGAGGGAACACAAGCGGGGAGTGGGAGAGGGAGAAGCAGGCTTTCCACTGAGCAGGGAGCCCAATGTGGGGCTCCATCGCAGGACCCTGGGATCATGACCTGAGCCGAAGACAGACGCGTAATGACTGAGGCACCCAGGCTCCCCTTATTCTTTATTTTTTAAAAAGTTATTTCAAAATACTTTAGGTCAACACTAAACTCTCGCCCCATTCAATGTACAAGCTACAAATGCTTGCTCAGCAGCTGAGGGGCACTCTTGAGTAGCATGTTTGAAAAGTGAATAAAAATCCATATAAAACAAATATTCAGATAGTTTCCATAGGAACACAGATAAGCGACCCCATCTCCTAGTCTCCCATATTGTTGCATCCATGCCAACCCTACTTAGGAAGACATTTAGCAGTTATTAAGAAACAGCAGTAATTAAGTTAAACAGTCCCCCCAAATCCCATAATTCAAGATAAACTCGAAGTTAACAGCTACAGGAGCGGCACGTCCGTGTTAATGCTAGCTGAAGCACAGATAGCAAGGGAACACTTCATCCCCCTCTTCCAAGCACAGAACACAGGCAGAGTGCTGACATGCTGCTCCTCCACTTCAGGTGAGAAGTCGTGGTTCAGGATTTGCTGCATTAGGTGCCATGTTGGCCCCAACATCACACAGTGGATAATTGGCCTCTGGAACCCATTGAAAGTAGAAGCAGCAGCAACAGCAACAGCGTAAGCACCCATGTTTTCGAAGAGCATCCAATTGCCTACATGCATTTCAGGCAAGTCATAGCATTCAGCAATGCGATCGAGCCTGTCACATGTCTGTCCCCACAAACTGGTTGAATAATTCTCATCACGTGTGCATGGTCAACAACATCGCATAACCAGACAACTAAATGCACAGACTACACATTTATAATCAATAGCGACTGATCGGTATGGGATTAAATAGAGAACTGAAGCATCAAATATTACCAGCAAAAGCATTTTCCATATTCTGTTCTAATTTCACAATGACTTTGGCCACCTTGATCTACATCTATCTATACTTTATAGTATGCATATGTGGAGCAGTTAAGAACTGTAACTAATTTATTATTAATTTAAATCCACAGGTCAATGCTCCTGCATAGAGACAGCATCCTATGAAATAACCAAAAAACATAGCCACATCATTATGTTCCATACAGTCATAGTCAAATCAAACAAAATTCTGTCCTATGAGTTTTGAAAGATACTATTAAGCATGAAGGCAGGGGAATCATAAAGCTAAAGGATGGAAATAGTTATACCAGGTAAATATTTACTAGAATATAGCTATAATATATCATAAAAGAAAAATCCTTCTTTAAAACCCATGTCAGGATAGACATGATTGCTCTCAAGGGATTAAAAATTCAATCTCTTGTGAAAACCTGGTACTATAATACTTGCATGCATCCAGACAGCTCACACAGGAGGTGCACAAGGGATAGAACTTCCAGGAGAGAAGAACCCACCTGAATCTGACCCTGAAGTTGATTGAATCTCTTGGATGATTTGAGCTACCGATGCTGTGTTTTTTTCTTTTACAAGTTGCATTTAAATACTGTCTTCTCCATAAATGATAGTCTCTCCACTGACTCCTTGGATGAATATGCTTCCTGCTTCTTCCGTGTCTCTTACTTTTGTGCAATGGGTTCTCAGGGGCATTTTCTGCACTTCCTGTGTTCATATCCTGAACTCTTATTTCATTTCTGTGGGATCTCGCCCTGGCTTATGACTGATGT